CTTCCCTGTCTCTGCACAGTGCCTGGGACAGCGGGTGATGCGCCAGTGGCTGTCAGTCAGCGGGGTTTTCTCTACCAACCTAACTCCAGGCAAGAAGGCCACCCCTCCGCCCCCAGCTGCTGCGTCGGGGACTCTGGGTTGGGCCTGTTCACTTGGGGTGGTGGCCTGCTCTGGCGCACAGTCCTCTCCAGGACCCCACCTCCGGGGGCGACTACACCCAGGGCAGGGCCATGCCCGCTGCAGCTCTTGCCAACGGCCGCACGACCGAGCACAGGCCTGCTGCTGGCAGGACGCAGAGCCGGGGTCCACACAGTCGTTGCCGTGTTCCCCCCATTCTGCCACTGGGACAGTTTTTCTGAAACTCAGACCTGAGCTTCTCCCATCTCAGCGACTCCCCCGGCTCTTCAGGGCAGCTGCTTCCTGGAGAGCCACACTCAGCTCTTCAGCCTGTTCTTCTGGGAGCGCTCCCCTGGTGCCACACCTGCCACAGACCCCGATACTCCCTCGGCGCCACCACCTGTCCACAGACTCGGTGCTATAGCCTGGGGTTCTCTCGCTCAGCGTGTAGACACACACAGCCTTCGGGTAGGAGAGGCCGGCCCTGCCCTGCCCTGCACAGATTCCTAGCGGAGCTTAAGAGCCCTCACGGGACATTTGGCACGCGTCCGCTGACTCTTGTTTCCCTTAGACACAACAGGTTCCTTAGAGACCCGCCCGTGTCTCCTGTTTACTGTCGTTTCCCAGCACCTCGCCCGGGACAAACATTCTCATTAACCCCCGTGGAACGCGCATACGGAGTTAGTTTGTTCTCGGTAGAAATAAAGCAATAGTGAATGAAAGGCCATTCCCAGTTCATCGATGTCCGTGACATCCTAACCAGAGAACTGCACGCGTAGCCCGCTTCCGCGAAGACTGAGGGCAGGATTCGATGGACTCCACCAAGTTCCTGCCTCTAGAACAGTCCAGAGGGGCTTGGAGAAAGCCAGAGCTCAGCACGGAGGGGTGCTGACTTCCTGTGCCACGGGATGTGGGCGGGCCTGAGGGGAGAGGCACAGGGCCGCCAGGGTGCATGGTGCCTGGGACGGCGGGAAGAGAAGGGGCGCGGGAGCTGGTGTGTGTGCTTTGGCCGACCGACTAACAAGGCCACAGGGGCAGGGGTCTGCTTTCCATTAGGTCTCGACTTGGTCTTTCCCAAGATGAAACGAAAGCGCCCCAGGCAGGGTGGTCCAGAGTGGGTTACCCGGTCACTGAGCTTCTGCAGGGTACCTTGTGCTGGCAATGGCCTGCGAAACTGCACTTTCAGAGACCCCTACCAGGGCCAGCAGGTGGCATGGTGGTTCAGGTGCTGGACTCCTACATGGAAAACCACAGTTCGAGTCCTGGACCTGGCTGTTTGCTTTCTCACTTTCCCTCTCTGTCTCTCTCTGGTGAGTGCATGTGCCCTGTAGCAAATTAAAAAAAATAATAATAATAGATAAAATAAAACAATTCTTAAACAAGGCAACAAAAAAGAAGCCCCCTACCATTGCTGTTCTGAGTTTTGAATAGTATCGCTGCCATTTCCAGGGGTAGGGCAGTTTATTCCTGAGAAGCACTACTGATGCCTCCACATTGCTTATGGTCGCCTAGGGAGGATCAGCATTCGCAGTGGACCAGGAAGGTGAGCGCTTGCCCAGGAGGGACGCAGCTCTGGATTCTGCACTAAAATGCAAGTCTCAGTGTTCAGCTTCTCCTTCCACCGTAAGGCAGCCCTGCCCGCGGTCCTCTGGAGCCCCAGGGGAGAGCGGCTGCCCTCGCTTTCTCGGATGCTGTGAGCGTTAGAGGGAGGTTAAAGGAGCCGTGGTTATTTACTTGGGGGAAGGTCCCGACCACCTTGAGCAGCTTTCGGGGGCTGCCAAGGACTAGGGAGGGCACTGGCTCGGGTACGTCTTTCTGCACAGACATCCGCGTTCTCCTTCCTTTTCTCTCTTTCAGTCCGAGGAAAGAGAAGTGGCCATGAGACGTCTCAGGGCTGTGGCCACCCACGCCACGACTCCTAGACTGGAGACAAACCGGGCCCTGGAGCCCAGAGGCTCCGTAGAATTTGACCGGGCGATCAGACCCGCCCCTTCCCTGAAGGGTGTGCGTGGGGTCCTCTGCAGGGGGAGCCCAGCCCTTCCGTTTCCTGACCAGGCTAGTGAGAACCGTCAGGACAGGCCGGAGATGGCCGGCTCTGGGCGGGCAGAGCGGCACGGAGCTGGTCGGCACCGTGTGGCAACAGGTCCGCCCGTCTTCCCTGCTCTGGGCTGAAGGTGGGCGAGGTGCGTGACAGCTGTGGGGGGGAGGACGCAGGCGTGGCAGACAGGGGTTGTCACAGGATTGCAGCCTCCGCGATCATCAAGTATCTTTAAGAAGAGGCGACGATGGGAACCAGCAGTTAGCGTAATGGCTATGTCGCTGGACTCCCACGTAGTCGACCACGGTTCGCGTCCCGGACCCGGTGGCTTAAAACTCACGCTGGGCGCGTGTGCGTGCGTGCCCAAGATCCCGAGAGGAGAATGGAGGAGAAGGGATTGCGGCGTGACCATCCCCCCGGGGGGTGATTTCTCGCTTTCTGTCTCTAATGTCTCTCTCTGTCTGTCTGGCGAGCGCACGCGCCCTATAGTGAAAATCTCTCCAAAAAAAAAAAAAAAAGAAGAGCGACGATGACATTCGTGTGTCCACTCCGGGATACTCAGGTCTGCTCGTTAAGGTAGCAGGATGGGGAACGCCCATGAAAGGTCAGATCCATCAGGAAGGCGGGTGACAGGCACGCTCTGCCACACCCATGGAGGTTCTGAGAGAGACAGGCGGGCGCTGGGTTCCCAACTAGGGGAGCTGGGGCATGGGAGACAGGCCCTCCTGGGAGATGGGTCTTAGGAGACGGAAGGTGTGGTGGGCGGGGCCGATACTTACGGACATGATGAAAGGTAAGCAGTGGTTTTCTCCATGCCCGGGACTGGGGACTGTCGTCCGAGCCTCGAGTGCTCCCCTGTGGCCTCCTTGTTCACATTGGCCTGCGGAGGAGGGTCCTGTTTGGCAGTCTGAGCACTGGGTAGGGTGTTTAAGCCGAGACAAAAGGCATGGGGCCATCCTCAGGGGGCATGGAAGACCCCTTCCCTCTGGTCCTGCTACTGTAACAGGCACTGGGGGCGGGGGGGACCTCAGGCCAGGCCATGTCTCAAGGACTCAGGAGCGTGAGCTGACCTTGTGGCCAGGGTGCCTTGTGCAGGGTGCTCAGTGGCAGTTTTGAAACAGATGGATAATAAGGTGAGATTTGAGCGAGATCCCTGGAGCCTGGCGGGTGGGGTACAAAGACGGAAGGCTAGGAAGCAGACCGCAGCGTGCAGAGACGAGGGCTCCTTGTGGTACGCCCTTGTCCAGATGAAGACACTGAGGCTCGGAGGGGGCGTGGCAGGGGAGGG